CTTCAACTCAACACTGTTACAATAAGAAAGTTTTATTAATTAGGGTAAATGTTCAAAAAACCTTGTATGTAGTGTAGCATATTTACCAGGCATATCATATCAAGTAATTGACACAATATTTCATGTCCTTAACCATAAATGCTTAATTTCAACAATCCACGTATAGATGGATAATTTTTACAGGCCATACTTTACTCTCTTCTTAATTATACCTAAAATGTGAATTCCCCCTTCCCATGAAAATATTTTCACTTATCCCCCATCTTCCACCCGTAACATTAACTTCATTCTTCAACAACTTTTCACATTTGGACACCACCCCTTAAACATAGTTATCTTTCCCCTATTCTATCTCAGTTGCATCATGGCCAAGATGTCACAATAACTAAAACAATTGATTAACTGGTCTATATTGTGGTATGTATGAGTCCATTATAGACCAATAAATGTAACCAAGACAACATTTCAATAAAAAATTTAAAGTGCTCAATCAGAATGCTCAAGACCAACCAACTGAGACATCAGCTTCATGACCGATACATTATCAGGGGGAATCCTTTAAATGTCCAAAACATTGAAAAGTGTTTTAGCTTGAATATATAAGCACTAGTGCCAAAGGGAAAGGACCAAAAGTTGTAATGGAACTTAGCAAGAAAAAGCAAAACTCTAAGTGCATACCAGTCAAGAAAAACAAACCCCATATAGCCCAAAACCATGATCTAACGTGAAAAGAAACAATGTCTAATACCCCCTTTCCCCCACCATTTGGGTGAAAGAATTTGAATTGGAAGAAATTTAAGATCGTAAAATAGTAACAAAGACTTAGATTATATGTAAGGTAAAACCTGTGTATATTGAACATTTTTTGCCGAGAAAAACATTCGGTATTGGTAGATGTTCACTACGGAGAGGGTAATTTATACAGAAGTCAGTAGAGTATGTGAGGAGGAAGGATGTCCATTAGAGACATATGTTCACAAGAGAGAGGTGTTCACTAAGACAGGTTTACTGTATACATTTATATGTATGACCTCAGATTTCATTATGACCATTGCGATTTCAATATACTTACAATGAATGGAATAAAATCTTTCTTCATAAATTACAACATAAATCATAGAATCTCTGTCTTAATTTATATAATTGATTTATCTTGACTCAAAGAATTTATTAGAGTACTGTTTACCAATAATGTAAGCATAACACAAATACCAGTTGATGTGTTTGACTCAGGTTTGCTCATGCCTTAGGTATAGGACTCTGCTCAGAAAGGAATTTTTAAGATGGCAACTAAATTCAAAATGGCTGCCATTATCACACTGAATAACTTCATTTACTTCAGAGTATAACACCCCAAGACAACATTGAATGAACAGAAATTATCATACCAGTTACAACTGAGTGAAAACAAAATGGTTAATCTTTAAATCTCAAAACCCTGAAAACAGCACTCTCTGAAACCAAACTACAATCACATAGGTACCATTGGTGAAACCAGCTTTTAACTTCTCAAATATTAAAATTTCCTGCCATTGTTCAAAGAAAAGTTGAAATCTTTTAATCATCAAATACTCCAAGATACAGTGCAAAACACACTATCAATGCAAAGATTCAACAAAGGACGCACTATTTCAATAATAAAATGTCATATTGTATAGTATCTTTATTGTATCTTTATTTCCTCCTTACAAGAAGATTTATAAAACAAAAACAGCTTTAAAATTTACATATTACAAAGTATTTCTGCATTTTATCGTAGAGTTTCATAGTAAGTATCTATTTACACCAATTCATATAAAACATATATACGCGCATTGAATGAGCATGATTTAAAGTAAATGTCTATGTGTGCTAAGTCCTAAGCACACGAAAGAATGAACTCGGTAAATTGAGTATCATCGAGTTGAAAGTCAACTCTGCTGCCAAGTATTGTTTCTAATACTATATTTTCCTCCATGTCGAGTAATTTGACACAATTCTCCAAGGACAGGGAGTTAAAAATATAGTTTTCAATGAAATCATTCTTTTCATTTATAAGTTCACCACATTTCATGAAATGTGTGACTATCGAGACAGTAAAATCTTTGCAACGTTTACATTGATATAACCTAAATCTTGCAGGTGTGGTCAAATACAATATGTGGGCTAATTCCCAAAGTTGCTCGGTAGCCTTTTGACCAAGTGTCCATAAAACGGAAGGTTCTATTGACAATTGTACATTCAAAAATAATGATAATGAATCATCCGCATTTACTCGGGCACGCCATTTTGTTTCTTCATTTAATTTGATTTGATTAGTACACATCATTTTAAATTTTACTTTGGTCATAAGTTGATAAAACCATTACAGATTTCATTTTTCTGAACTAAAAATGAAGAGAGTCTATATAGAAACAATTGTTTTGTGAAAACATGAGTGGCTCTGCATAGTCTATCAAAAAACAACACTTTTGCTTTATCTATATAACTCTCAATTGACAGTAAACCGAGCGTAGAGAGGACAACCTCTGATGAGACGTTTTGCTCAAATCCTTGTATTATTTTTGCAATTTTTTGAATAGTAACGTTAAGGATGCAGTACCGGGTCGGTTTTCACATCTGTTTGCGCAGGTTTGAGAAAGCTAGCTCCCAAGAACGTCATTTTCGCATTTAGTCTTATTAAAAATTATAGTTTATTTCGATAATGGTGTTTCCAGAAAAGAATTAAATTGCAAACATTTTATCGAGCATATTTTATCCCTTTCACTTTTATGGGAAAACTTGTTCTTGTTAATGGATATGAAAACCAGGGTTCGAAAGGTGCCAGCACTATTGAAAACTCAAAAACTTCATTTTGGGTGGGTAAAATAATTTTTCTATTTTGTAATTACCAGACGGTCAATCCTCTTCATATTGCACATGGATGATGATAACATCATCGTGATACATTGTAAAAAATATGAGCAAAATCTAATGTCTGGAACTTTTTCTACGCTGACCTGGTACTGCATCCTTAAGTGCGTGTAGTTCTACATTGGATGTTGTCCATAACTCGCAGCCGAACATGGCAGCGGGAAACACAATCGTTTTTAATAGCTTAACAGCAACAAGGGGGTTAATGCCACCTTTGCCAATACCAATAGGTTTGATGGAATAAAAATTGTTGAGCATTTTACGCTTAGCTTGTTGCATTGCTTCAATATCAGTTAATTGAGCATCAAGTGTGTTTCCAGTGTAGCACTGTGTTCTGGTTTCAGGTACAATATCATTTTGCAAGTGCCACATGCGCATTCCTTGACTGTCTCTGAATTGTTTAGTACTTTCATTAAAAGTGATGATTTTACTTTTGCTGTTCTGTCCAGAATGATATGACATTCTCCATTTTGAGCTATATTTTGATACACTATTTAATAATTTTTGGAGCGCATCTGGAGTTGTGCCAATAATTGTGGTGTCATCAGCCACCAGTACTGCAGGGATGCGCATATCACCTATTATTGCACCCAAGCCTGTATCGCATAGTTCTTCAATAAGAGCATTAATGTACACCAGGAACCAGAGTACAATACTGACTCGACCTTGACCTACTCCCTGTGGTGTAATTTGAAATTCTCTAGAGTACTTTCCATTATAAAGTACTTTAGAAGTGGTATTTTCATAACTATCGACAATTCAACGCCAACTTTTACCATTTAGCCCCAGATTAAATAGTTTGTGAAACTGGCCCTTCCGCCACAACAAATCATAGGCCTTTTGGTTATCTAAAAAAGCAATGTACAGTAAGCTTTCTCTCTCAGAGTAAAGTTGAATTAGTTCTTTAAGGACAAACACTGCGAATTGGCTACACGCGCCTTCTTGGTATGCAAATTGCAGATTGTGTGGACACCCCTGAAGCTTCAATATTGGTATAGTTCTGTTTGTGAAAATTCTTTCCCAGACCTTAAAAATACAAGACGTCAATGTAAGACCCCTAAAGTTGTCTCTATCCATAGGATTTTTTTTTTTTTATAAATTTATTTCAATGGCTGTGACATTCTGGCATTACTAGCCATGTCTTTATATATATTGAAATGACATATGATATGAATAATATAAATAGATCAAAGATACAAAATAAAAACAATTCATGTGTATGTGTGTGACCTTTCCCTTAAACTAAGAGATCATAATACCTATTTTGAAGCTTTGTGGAACTTTGCACATGCTTACCATTGCATTAAAAACCTTATTAAGAAAATGTAATACGTCAGAGCTACTGTACTTAAGATGCTGGATTGTCACAAGATCAAAACCAGGAGACTTGTTATTTGAAAAGGTAGCAATGCTTTGTTCAATTTCGGATACGGTAATTGGATTTTCGAATATGCCGTCATTATTAGAGAACGACTGTGTCATTAAATTAGGATGCTAGTGATCAATAAGATTCTTAAAATTGTCATCGAAATATGGCATGGATAATTCTGTACCAAGTGTTTCAAAATGGCATTGTGGTAAAATCGCGAAAATTAATCTTCGCAAAATTGTCAATTAAATCCCTGGGGATTTGTGAAATTTTTATTACCTGGAACTCCATTGCATTTTGTGTTATATAAAATGTTTGTCAAGTGTTTTAAGGCGATAAATGGGATACTTAGACTGTTACAGTGGCTTATTTGATCAAATAACCAAAAAATTATGATTTAATAGAGGTTAAGGTTCAGCATGTCGTTAATCAATATGACATAGTAGTAGGTGTACTAAGTAAAATTCGCGAAATTAAATAGTCACGAAATTAACGTTAAGCATCTGTGCAGCCTGCACTCCGTACAATCTTTCTTTGTAGCATCATGGCTCAATATGAAATATTCTTGGTACACCAGAAACCATCCATCCAATATGAAAATGAATAATTTAAGCATCAAATGCCGTGAAATTTCTCAAAATGTCAGAAATTGTGTTTGTAATGTATCCTTTTAGAACAATAAAAATGACAACTAATTTTCACCAAATACATATTTAATTAGCTTTCTGGTATTTTGCAGGTAGCTGCAGATATCCATCTAGACCCAAGGCCAGAATATCATAGATGTATATTGACCTGGCAACAAGATGACCCTATCCCCATAGCAACCAGCACTGGGAATCAACTAAGCAGTCGACTTTTGAGTATGCGATCCGCCAATGGTCTCATGATCCTCCCAGAAGTGAAAGAGAGTAAATCAAAAATCGAAAAACATGATTTGGTAGATGTAATGATCATTGGATACATTTAGAAAAATCAGAAAAATCGAAAAACATGATTTTGTAGCTGTAATGATCATTGGATACATTTAGAAAAATCAGCAAAATTGAACCGACCGATTAAGGTTGCTAAGAAAAAGCTAACTTTAATATAACATTAAAATTTATGAATATAAAGACACTTGAGAAGCAATAGAACAAGCCAAAAATAATATAAAAAATTAAATAGCTTGAATGAAGGGAAAGTTCAAAATACAAAACCGTATGTGAATGATTTTTGAGATTCTAATTCTGACATATAATGCAATAAATGAATGATGACTCATGAGCCAATTGATGGAATATTGCCCAAATATTGTGAAAATAGTGTGAAATTCTACTGGCATTGATAACATAACACTATGTGTCCTATTTACAATTTTTATTTTGTACTGGTACATAGATCCAATATATACAAATGTAACATTTTCTACAATAAAATAAATAAACAATATTATTGAACACCTACACTTTAGCTTTTATATAAGCATTATCATTATAATACATGTATACAGAAAAATCACCCATGTCCATATATACGAGACAATACGACATGTGATGGTAAAATGAATTTGTGACAAAAATATCTTGCTTGTATGGCTACTTGACATATATTCAATTAAAATTTCAGATTCCCTCAAGATATTATCCATATACATGAATTATATGCTTACATCTCATCTGATAAATTTATGTGCAGAAATTATTTACATGGAATGCCTATGGTGCATCCCTATACAGTATGTACATTGTGTGTTTCATAGACCAAAGAACATGTATAATTAATTGAGTCTTGGAGTCCCCAGTAGTTTTTCTTGGGGGACTCAGAATCGACTTTTTACATGTTTCTTGGTCTGTGATGCTTGTTAGGCTTATTGAATAAATGCGGTGTTGAGAAGGGAAGGTCAAGGACATTGAACCTTCTGGTCAAAATTTGAGCATTGACCAGTTGTTATGCTAGTGTCCTACAGATGCTGGAATTATTTATATATCTAACTGGTGGTACCATTCTCTGCCATATACTATATTGCCATACCTTCAATAAGCACTGATACTATGGCTTTAACATCCTGTTGCTTTAAATTTTTTAACTTATTTTGGTATGTTCATCTATTATTGCGTAGGCCTAATGTTTTGATGAAAAAAAGTAGTGAGAAAATAGAATAAAACAAAAAACCTGTTTGTACTTATTAAAAACTATATAAACTCATGTATGATTCGTGACAAGTATTTGGTATTCAGCGTCATTGTCTGGAACGAATAGTACATTTATTACATATCAGCTAGGTGGTGACACTTTATTATGCTGATGCATTGTTTGAAATGGTAACGGAGTACGAGAGGTAGATCATATATGATAAGAACTTTGCTGATGAGCAGGAGATTGTTTGGAGAATGGATTCCTTGAAATTTCTGGAAAGCATTTTTCTAAAAGGAACATTTGAAAATTTAAATTGACCAAACGGCCAAGTCATGAGTCTAATGTATCAACATGATATATTTACACTGTCGGCCTTTACCAGATATACATACAGTACAATGTCACTTGACTTGAAAAAAGATTAAAATTTACATATGACTACATGTTACAATATGCACAATATGGTAAAAATACTTCCCTATCCACCAGGACGTTTACCACATCTTCTTGATATTACTTTTATCAACTTTTCTAACGTTTACTACATCACCATGGTGACATAATGTTGTAGCTACCATTTTCGTGACCAGCATTCCGCTTCAGCGTCCTTAATAATTCTTCACTTTCCAGGTGGTAACATTTTGTTCCGTTTTAGATTTACAATTGTTTTTCCCTCTGCTTTACTGTTTGTCCACACACATATATTTGTATTCCATGTCTATATCATATAAGCATTGCATTGCACCGTTTTTGCCTCAGATCACCGTATCCAGCTGCTTGCCTGTCAATAACTTATCACCTTCGTACCGTACCTATAAAGAAAATATATTGTATGCACATGTTTGTTGATCAGAAAACACAAACGGAAACATTTGAATTATAAGACTGCAGACTGTAGAGACCTTCACAATATATTACTATTATATTCTATCATTGATAAACTTGATTTTGCATAAAGATGAAATGAACAAGGCGTACATTATAAGCTATAAGTTAAGGTTCTGTATAGATTTTACTCCCATGCTATTGTAATCTTTTGACCCAAAAGAATAATATTAAATCGTCGTTGTAGCCTCTGGTGCAGATTATGACCACTATGAGAAATTTGGTGTATTTAAAGTTGAGAATTCATTTTTTCTACATACGTTTTATCAATGTTACATATTTTGGACCACCCTGTACATTTAGCTCACACAAACCTTGGTCAAACACAATTAAGTTTACTATCAGAATCATAAGCATCAAACTGATTAATGAAAACACAATATGAAATCCCGCACTACTGACTAGTGACTAAGGTTTGATGTGCAGGGGCGTAGGCAGCAATTGTCAAGGGGATGCGATTTTTGTGGGTTTGGATCAATTTGAACGAAATTAACACATTGTATATGGTGCATTCTAAGCATTTCAAACTATGGTTTTTAATGTATTTTATATTATTGGCTACGCCCATGATGTGAAATCAAAAAAGCATCAATTAAACTTACTACATTCTTGATCTGTATCTATTGTGATGAAGCTGACGCATCATTCTAAACAAGTCATATATATCTAGCAGTTGACATCGAACCCCTGTGTAGCCTAATGGACAACTGGAAATATGAAAATGTACAAAATGAATAAATATTATAATTTTTAATATTTGCCATTCTGCTGACACAGAAGCCTACAAGTATTCATTCCAAATTAAAACCTGTAAAAACAGAATGCTAATGTATCGAATTCTTGTCAATGACTGTGTCGGTACTTATTATTCGGTCTAGTATCAATATTCCATAAGTAGACAGAGGCGTTCTGTATAACCTTTGATGTCTCGAGTGTGCATATTTGATTTCGGGCATGATCTTTTCTTGGAACTGCAGGTATACGAGGATGACTATCAATGTGCTACCGAGTCATAGTGGGTGGAATATCCACACGATACTAACTTTTTAATTGTTTGATAAGTGTAGTTTTAATAACATTTAATAATCGACGGTTACATCCAATAGACTCCTACCTTTATGATAAAATTCATTGAAAACATACTTCAGGCCACTTATTTCTAAGTAAAACATTTTTTCATGTTTTATTTATTTATTGTATTTTGGAAATGGCATCAGAATTGCTTGGGGTTATATATTTGTCAAGTGGGTATAATAAAGGTGAAAAGTGTTTCCTTGAATCGCAAAGAAATATTTAGTTTTTGGCCACCCTATAGATCTGCCTACATTTAAGAATCACTTTTATGGCTTGGAATTACTTTGACATTCTGCTCCATTGACGAACGATGTCGACTGGAATATCAATTAGTCTGGTGTGGGGGTGGATTTATACACACATTAATAACATATTCTATTTAAGTAAATATAATGTAAATAACCCTAGAAGTGGCACTATAAATAGTTAATCACCCATTGCAAGTAATTGATTTCTGAGAGATCCATCACATTGTAACAATACACCATTGAATTTTGCTGTTAACAAAACTGATTTTAAACGAGGTGTGTGTATTTGTGATAGTAAATGCCATGGTTTCCCTGACGTCATTGATTTATAATGTAGCTGTTCCATACTGGTCAGTTAATCGTATTCGTAAGTTATAAATGTGCTTGCTTTTGGACCAACATTTGTTTTTGCGATTTTATCAATTTTTCTCATTATTTATCATAAAAACATCCTTCAATATGATTGTTACCCAAAATTGTGGTACGTGTTTGGTTGAAAACAATTGATAGCGTTTACCACTAAACTCAATGCTATTATCCTTTTAAGAAATGAATCGTTTATCCGAACCCATTGTATCATTCATTAAGCACAGCAAGCCTGTAGAGCTCTAGGCATAGCATTTAGTTCAGTAGGCACTTGAAACCCAATATACCTAATTAATATTCAATAGCCTCGCTCTGGGTTCAGTAGCCTCAATTTGGATTTTTCAATGGCAATCCAGAAGTAACCAATTAACCAACTAATTCTTCAAATGTTTAATTAAGTCCCTTGGAAGGTATTATAAATAAAGAATTTGAAATGAAAACATTGATAATGATCCCCTACTTAACACCCTTGACTCATTTCTTGGATGGGAATTAGATTAACCCTCATTAGAACCATCTGATCCTTACCAACTTGTTTCTGGAAATTCTTGTGATTATCTTAATGTACATTAACTTTAAACCTGAATAATACATTGAGTGTGCGTTTCAAATGAACTAAAATTTAAACCTTCTTTTAGTATGTTATATCTCCTATGAGATGAAAAAGGTTTGAAAGCATTTGAAGCGCAAGGTTTTGAGAAATGTTTATCTAAACATCCCCTCCCCCAAAGGTCTATATACTATTCCAATACATGAGAATTCACTTTACACATGTTCAACACTGCTATCAACACAAAGCAAAAATGCATGTCACAGAAGATCACAAAAAAGTATTGGATAGTTTATGTAGATTGTGTGGTGAGAAAAATACAGTTTTTAGGAAAAAATACAAACCTCAACCATGTGTGTCAATTCAAAAGGAATTATTAAATATATGCCCAGAAATAAACTTGGATATGGACAATCCGGATCTTCACCCAAAGAAGATTTGTCAATCATGTTATAATAGACTGAAGAATAAGAAAGCAAAAATAGATAATAACACAATGGATCTCTATAACAAAATCAATAACCTGTGGACAAATGCCTTTGATGGGAACTCCTGTACAATTTGTGAAAAGTCAAATTCTAAGAACTCTCACAGTGCTATTGCAAGAAAAAGAACATTTGAGAGTAGCTATAATAAAGACATGGATAAAAGTTTAAACATCAGTGACATTGACACAAATGATATAAGTTTTCAATGCACGAGTACGCCTAAAAAGGTATGCATTAAAGATGTATCATCCGCATCTACATCAATGACACCTGGCCGTGGCCGTGAATCTACTATCAAAGAATTATTACAAAAACCGTTAGCTGCACCTTTAAGTATTTTAGAAAATAAATTATTGACACAGCTAGTCAGAAGGAAGTTGAAACATTCAACAGATAAGGATACATTAATCTGCAAAACGGGTGGAAAAGTGAGTATTTATTTGGTTTAATTTATTAAATGCAAGATGTGCAAGTAATGGGGGGGATAAAGGCGTGTTCACTGCATTTTTTGGGTATTAAGTTTTGTCAAATGTCTATTGAATCAAGTGCAATCTAGTATAACTTGTCTAATCAAGAGCTAGATGTCAAATCATTAAGAAGCTATCATAAAGAACCTCTTATCATGTGATAATCACCATAAAATTCAAGTATCTTCAACATATCATTAAGTGTTATCTTAAATATACCATGAAATCATCAAGTAATTCAAATTAATGTTCCAGCCTTTGATCTTGATGAAAGTAGAAAAGGTCCAAGTCCAGAGTGAAAAAGCATCTTCACCTCTTAAAAAGCGCAGAGCAAAACAAATAAATAAGTTCAGGAGAGCAACAGGGGGAAAAAATGATAATTCCATCAATCAGCAGATAGCAAAAGAGTGGCGAATAGCATATAGAAAGAAAAAGAACAGGAATCAGCTGGAACATTTGACAAAAATAAAAGCAGCAAGGGTAACCAGAAAACAAGCCCTCGCAATGAAGTCTGATGCCAGGTTGTCATGGGGCCAAATGGATGTTATAACGAGGCATTTGCGGGAAAACATAACAATAGAGAGCAGAAATAAACAGAGGGAATATCGGAAAAATTTACTCAATGATATTAATCTAAAACAAAAGCTGAAATTGTTTACCAAAAAAGACAATATTTCCCCCGAGAGTAAAAATGGAAAGGTATACAAGAAACTGCCTATGGTGTATATTAACAATTTGGAAGTACATGTAAAATCACACCTCGATAAAATGGAAAAATTCAATATGATAGAGCAATCTCATGTTATTCCCAATGATGAGATTTGGATAAAAATAGGAGCAGATCACGGGGGTGGGTCTTTTAAAATATGTTTCCAAATATTGAACACAAGGAATCCAAATGCCCCAAAGAACACTCTAGTTTTTGCCGCATTCTGTGCAAAAGACAGTAGGGAAAATATGGAAATGTTGTTGAAAAGATACTCTCCACAGATTGAGAAGTTAAAAAATATGGTGTGGAATGGAAAGAGAGTGGACCTGTTTGGCTGTGGTGACTATGAGTATCTGTCAAAGACACTTGGGATATCAGGAGCAAATGGAACATTTCCCTGTATATATTGTGAAATTCGCTCATCTGACATGAACACACCAAAGTCATCAAGGTCAAAGCTACCTGAAAGAACTCTTAAATCGCTTAAAAAAGCACACAAAGACTTTCTTGAAAAGGGCAATGCAAAATTATCAAATGCCAAATACTTTCAAAACGCTATCAACCCATCTTTGATTCCCATTGAAATTGATCATGTATGTCCCCCTTACTTGCATATATTATTGGGACTTGTGAAAAAACACCATGATCTCTTATTGTCACTTTGCAACAAAATTGATCTGAGAATTGCACACCAAATTGCCAGCGATGAATCATTGAGTGAAAGCAAGCGAGATACGCCTTATGGGAAATATATTACTCAACTTGAGAAAATTTCCAACCTGAAAAAAGAACTTGAAAGTATTCCAAATGAACAAAAACGGGAAAAGATTAAAAAAGAAATCGAAGACAGAGAAACAAAAAACCAACTTCACTTAGAATCTGGAACTGTAGCTGCCACACTTGACCAGGTTCTAAAAAAGCATAACATACAAAGGGCACCATACCATGGAAAATCTTTTGTTGGCAACCACTGCCACAAGTATTTAAAGCCAGAGGTGTACAATGATCTTTGTGATGCAGTTGTTCAGGCTACAACGTCAATTTCAAAAGGACTAAAAATTGAAAACAAATTAGTAAAAGCAGCACATCGCATTAGTAATATTTTTAAGGATGTAAATAAAGAACTTTCAATTGTTCACAACGCAGTTTCTCACGACAAAAAAATCGAGGCTGAGCAAGTACCAATGATTCAAGCAAAGATTGACAGCTACATGGAAGCATATAGACACTACTTTAAAAGGACAAATATCACCTTGAAACAACATCTCCTTGAAGATCACATATCGGAATGGATAGAAAGATATAACTGTGGGATGGGTCTTCAAGGTGAACAGGGAATTGAAAGTGTCCATAAGATATTCAATGACTTGGACCGTAAAATGAATGGAATACGTCACCCCCTAAATAAATTAACATCTATTGTGACAGAGCACCTGGTAACCTGCCAACCCGAATTGATAACTTCAAATCCAATAATAAAAAAGCGCAACCCTTCTAAGATTAAAGTATGACACCACTACTCTGCTTCTGATGTGAGTATATTTTAATTGAAGCTGTAGAGCATGAATAGTTTAGTACTATATTCCCATATTAATCAGTCATACACTTATTATTCAAAGACTGCATCAATCCTCTTTCAAGTAAAACAACACATATCTTAACATATTTCATACATCTCTTCCACTAACATTTTAATCTGATAGGGTAATGGGGCACTTTAAGGTTAATTGACTTGTGTGTAGGTATTAATTACAGCGAATGCCTACTGAGAGTTAAATGTACATGCTGAGCTATGCTAGCGCTACTGGTGGTAATTTGATAAACAACAACTAAATCTACCACTACAGGCTTGCTGTGTAAGAAAACAGGTGGTCTGAAAAGTGAATACGTTCTGCGATCAGTGGGGCGATTACACCCTTGGATTACCTCCCTGCCTATTGATTTTTATCCAAGATTTAATGTGTGTTTTTCCTGGATCACAGAGTTAATGTATAGAACCAAGGCTACGCCTGATTTCAATAAAATACAATCCAATGTCACTATCATGAGAATCATTATCCCACCGAACGAAGTTCGGAGGGATATAGGGAATGGCCCCGTACGTACGTACGTCTGTCCGGTCAATAACTCCAATACCGTTGGCCCACTTTTGTTCATATTTTGTACACATACCCTATGGGCATGATGGGAGTATCTGCTCGAAAGCCGATTTTAAAAATGGCCGCTCATTCAAATATGGCGGTGATTTTTAGTGCCGATTTTACAGTAATTTAGGTACATTATGTAAAACTGTAATCGCAATGTTTTATATGTAAAAAATTATATACCTATCAGGACATTAATAAAGCTAGAAATGTAGATATCGAAGAAGCACATGGCAGCCATCTTGAAAATAGCGGCCTTTACACGCTATTTTACGATTTTTGCTGTAACTTGAAAAGTAGTGGAGCGATTTTGTTATATTTGGTGTGTGAATACAATAAGCATGGCACACTGTCTAATGACACTTTGGGGAGTAGGCGGTCATTTTGAAAATGGCCACCATTTTTATGAGTGTTATCTTACGTTTTTTTACAATGACTCAAAAAGTAATAATTAATGATCAAAAGTAAAAAGTAATGATTTTGTTCATATTTGATATGTGAATACTCATAAGCATGGCACACTGTCTTATGATATGTTGGCAAGTAGGCGTCCGTTTTGGAAAATGGCCGCTATTGACATGTATATGTGTGCGATTTTGTTGAAATATTACATATACATTTTCTGTTATTACAGTACACTTTTTGATGACAATTTGGCTATAATGTTGTCCATTTGTGTGTTATTTTACGATTTTTGCTATATACTTCGTTTGTAAAAATGCCAGCCATGGCTGTTCGATGGGATTTACTACACTTTGACGTTGCTGTTGTCTAGTTATTTTCAATGAAAACCGATAGAAAGTGTGGGTTTACAACAAATAATATATACGGGATATCGATTCTGATTATAATTCAATCAAAAAAGTTTTGCGTAGAAATAGATGGAACTTCCTTTACAGCAAATATTTAGATAGCTCCAGAAACGTAATTTTGGCTTATGAACTTAAGTTTTTTTATGGTTCTAACTTTAAACGTTAAGGGTATACATCAGCCTTAAGATGCATAACTTTTTAAATCAATTCCTTTCATTAACATCATTTTCATATTTTGATGATTTAACGTAATACACTCGCATCTTTGGTTCTTTGAAATGAGTAAAACATAGGCAATGCTAGTTTAAACGAAAAAAACGGCAAGAGCACCAGACTTCAAAATATGCAATGCGGAAACATTTGTTGTTCTCCAGGTCTGATCTTAGAATGTTGTTTTCTTTCGCAACAGTTATGTGGCCATCAACGAGAAGGGAATTGTTAGACCTCATAAAGGTTTCCTGAATGAATAATGAGTTTGTACTTGTATATGGAAAACCTTTTTAAATGTGAGGTTATACAAATAGTTTGGGTCTAAATATCAGCTAACTTTGTTGAACTTGTGCATAATAATGATAAAACTTCATCATTGAAAACTAGGTAACTTCAAGTTGATTTACGGAAAACGTTGTACTTTGAGCATGGATCAGTATGAAGAACTTCAGACAAAAGTTTTGAATAAGTTGTAATGTTTTTTAAAGAAACAGCTCAAGTCAGTACAATTTCAGAATTATATTACGTTATGTACTAAATTCAATAAGAAAATGTATTCTTGCAGACAGAAAAAATATTTATATTCAAAGGGTAACGCATATCGTTTAGCAAATCGAACGCTTGATTTTGGTGTTACCGTTTCAGTAATAAAGGCACGATCCCGGAAAAATACTCAGGGATGTACAGCTTGAGGTCAGTGCGTAAATCATAAATTTTTATTTTGATGATAAATTTTAAAATTGGTGAAGTTTCATGATCTTCTGTTTGTGTTTAATGGAAAAATTGGAAATCTTGATTTACATATACGAAGAAAAAGTACAAAGCATGGTCTTGTGAAATGTCCTATTCAGAAATGAAACAAATACGTTTTGGACTAATACAAGGATTTATATTTGTTCATGCATCCTCTGGATAAGTCACCCACTCAACTTCCCAATATTTACAGATTTTAAACTTTTCTACTCATTGTTTTTTCTTCGTGAAGATGATTTGATACTTTATATTTCTTATAAATTTTTTCTAGTAAACTAATGACTGGAAACTGGACACAGTTCCTATTTGTTGCCTAACGGGAGTTAACATATTCTGCACCGTTCCACTACTTACTAGACACTCTTAAGGCCATAAAGCTGGAAAAACATATGACATAATTAATCTAATTATGGTAATCGTCATATAGTTTAGGTGGGGCTTTATAGAAAATGTAAGTTAATTTCATTACAAAGAATGGAAAACTAACATATTTTCAAAAAGTTAATTAGTACGTTCGATTTTGATTGATTCATAGGTATATTCATGTGTATGAGAATTACAGTAAGGCAGAAACATATGCGTATATCTCTGTAAAGCCACTTAGCACACTGTTGATGCCCTGGGAACATACACTTTAAACTTAGAATCACACTTGGTTGTATTTATCATCACGTTGGCGATGGGATCACTTGGAAATGTTTATTTTCTCAACAACTGCATTTATACCTACACGTCTGCAACATTTTCTTGCAACAATCAGATAATAAGCCTATTGGGAATATCATTTCAGTTTTAATATAAATTATTTTAACAAGTATAGGCTAACTTATCATGAATATCTCTGTTCGTTTCTTAATGAGTTGTTCCGTAAACTCCTTCTCTCGATGCAATTTTTGAGAAAGCGCAACGAAGTGAATAACCGGTATATTTATGAGACGTCCCCCTTAACCTTGGCTCCAATTAAACTTTAGACTTATCTTGAATCCAGAGATATACTACTATTATGTTTTATTCTGCAGAGCGCCAGACAAGATCTGACTTCTGCCAGCGAAATGTTGGTCATGGTAACTTACTGCAAACACTCAGAAAATTAGGTTACACTTTTGAGCTGAAGATAATGAAGAACCAATTTGGTTTAAATTTTAAGTGATGGAATGCGCGCGTATAATTTTCAAAAGAAAAAAATGCATCAAAAACAAAACTACATGTGTGATCTGGTTTTGAATTTTCTTTGAGAAAAGGGCACATGTTAAAATCGACTCTCCTTCCGCAAGTACTGAGTGACCTTTAAAGCAACGATCAATTTTCACTAATGGTTAGCCCGCGAATTGCCAAAAAATAATGTTTTTACAAGCGATCAGTTGTAACCCAAGATGCTTTCTTGCAAAGAGCGTGTGTGATCTTTCTTTGCATACTGTTAGAAGCTGGAATTAGAGCCGAAGTCTAACGATAAACCAGCAGAACTGCTACCTGCCTTACACGTACTACTGATTGGGAAATTGAAATTGTATGTATGTTACTCCAATTTACGTTTTTGTCCATCACAATTATTTTACCAGTAGGAGATGCCGCTAAGTCTGTCTCAATAAGACGTCCAGTGATGTGTTTTACATTATCCTATTTCGGATAAGCCGACCACAAATGGCTAAAATTAACGATGGAGTGCAACTTTATAGGGTTTCAAACGGTCTAGCAATTTGTTCGAATTTCCGCGTACAAAAACAATGTTATGTTTTTGATAAAGAAATAAGTCAATGGGATGTATGTGCAATTGACACCTCGGTGGAATTTAAAGAATCCAAGTATTACACTTTAAACGCATATCTGATGAGGCAGATGATTGTGGTGATATTAATTGGCGCATATTTTTTGAGGTTATTTTTAATAATGAAAGCACGAAGGGAAGTCCCTACTATTACGATTCCGTAATAATTCCGTCAATTATTGAATATTTACTTTAACCCTTTGCGATTAAGTTATATCGTGTTCTAATTTCATCCAAGAACTGGTCTTAGCGAGTGCTTCGTTGACATCCAAAAACATCTTGGGACGGTATAATAAGCGCACTTTAAAGTGTTGTGACGCAGGTTAGGATAAAAAGTTGGTCAAGATTGCTTCAGCTTGTTTTGGATTCATACTTATTTAGTAATGCCATGCATTTCACTGAATCTAAAATTGAAATCATGTAAATCAAATTTACGTTGGCCAATAATTAGGCTACCTTAAAATTCTAATTCGTTTAAGAAATCGATGCAATGCTATTGATGATTTTGGAATCTCATTTTAACTGTGTCTTCTTAAGTTGCTCATATCAGCTTGTTGATAAGTCGAGATCAACTCCGTCGTTTTTGTGATAAGATGTGTTACCTAACTGACGTGAAAAGTGTGAGAGATGTCACGAAATGGGCGAATCTCGGCCACGTACCGAGTACTATTCTACCTGTGAATTCTTTACAATGATCGTTCATTATAACTTCAAATTTTGATGAAAAAGAAGCCTATTAATACACATTATAAAGCTATATAGATTATGTATATATAAAGATTTAGCAAAGGAAATACATAAGGGAGTGATACCACTTCTACTTAACTTAATTAAAAGGGTATGCAAACGGAATTATAATGATACTTACTAGCAAGATTTGGTTTTTAATTTTCCTACAATGACGCACACGCCTTCATTAAAACAATATTTTTCATCAGCTTTTTCACACAATTTTAAGTGTTCACTCAAGAAAGCTGGTCTCTTAGTTGGCTTTGGTTTTTCAACGCCATGCCTTTTATCAATGCGAGGTTTGGTGGCATCATTGTGATCATTTTCAGGTTCAGTCCTTGTGATTTTATCATAATCTCTTTGGTTTCGTGCGAGTTGCGATTCGCCCTCTCCTGAGCCTTCCATATGTTCCGATCGATTAGCATCTGAGCTCTGGTGATGGTGGAGTTTAGCTGTTCTGTGTCGCCGGTGTTTAGCATGTTGCTGAGGTGACTTCGATAGTTTATCATTCACCAGAGGTATAAGATGGTCTTTTATAAACTCATTCGTGTGTCTATCTACTACTTTAATATGTACTGGGCCTTGTATAGGTTTTGCAGTAACTCTTGGAGCGTTGTCCAAATTGTCATTGTCAATCACGACACGGTTGTTGGCGCCGCGTCTCGATTGCTTAAAACGCCATTGGTTCATCGCTTCTTGCTTTTGTATTTCTGCTTCTTGCTTTTGCATCATGTACAACAACTGTCGCAATCCTTTCTTTATGAATGTATTGTAGGTGCCGTCTCTTTTCTCCTGATGTTCAGGAGTCGCACCCACAAGTCCCGCAGCAATTGTCACCACGAAGAGCTCAGACAAGAAACGAATAATATGCATTGTTGGTGACCATACTATGACATGCAGAAGTTGTGCTACGATGCTTGTTATATATGTCCTCCAAGGCACAGGGTCCTCCTCATTGTAATCGGCTGTCTGCTGCTGCGCAAAGCCTTATATTACAACCATTAGGTACTTGGCACCACGTATACTTATCTAGGCAATCCAACAATTAATTTATATCAATTAAAAGTATAATCCCGCTAAGTTATCCAATGTTCGCTGTACGCGTGGAAATCATTCCTTAGAAGTTCTGCCAAGTTGCAAAGCGGCAATTCGATGATGGAACGCTAAAGATATCAGGAACGCTTAATCCATAAAGTACTGGCGAACTTCCCCAGTAGACAACAGTGTACAGTATCTGACAAATAGAATTACAACATCGGCGATAAACTGAGTCTTGCTTCCTAGTTCACCAAGCCAGATGTTTCCCTGTGCAGGCAATAAACAACTGTCTACATCATATATTAGGCCTTCAACCCATTAATCTTGCACCTAACAACAATTACATATCATAACTCACAATAATTTCACTTTTCTAATTAACGACAAGAATGTGTAAATAAGAAACACAGTTTTGGGCATAACGGGCAATGTGTCAAATTGTGGTTTCTGGTAATGCCACTAGTACAAGAACCTTCCGGCTTTGTCCTATCAATCACTTCATTTAGACCTTTCCTCGACATCAAAAACCTCAGATATTGAGACCAATTAAGTGTGTTAGTAGGTTACTTCCTTACAAAATCACTTTTATATTAGTATAGCCCTATCAATACCATACATGTTTATTGTAATATATTTTTTAGTAATAAAACTCCTTTTTCGACAAATATCAGATGTTTTTGATTATATTTTATCCAGGCTGTGGTGTACAGACTCGAAACTGTGTATACCATAGATTTAGTGACCCCTGTGAAACACCCCCTGTAAATAACAGAAGGCATTTTAACATTTGGGTTAATATATACTTTCTTTCAACAATGTGTTTCTTAGCAGAATCTTTTTGGTAGTCTGGATACCTATTTGCTTGGGATTCACGGCCAAAAGGTTGAATCTTGTTTCTCATATTTAAAGTACACAAGGTTTGAATTTTTCAGACTCAAATTAACGCATTTCTGTTGTAGGACATTATGGCTGGCCAAATAACAGCATTCTAAGAGTCGCGTGAGAAATTACGCGCCTTGTAGACATTACGCACCGAATGACATACGCATAATTATAATATGATATATAGTTATGACCCTAATGGCGACATTGTTTAAAAGGGGCAACATCACCAGCGTGGTAATTTTCGCGTGATACTTTACATAGTATTTTGAAATATATATATTTCACGTTTTCGCGAGTTTTGAAAATTTGCGAAACATAATAGTCACGAAATTCCAATAGTTCTATTTCGCAAAATATAATAGCCGCGAAATGTATTTCACTCAATGTTTACGATATTTTTGTTTAGTGCTGGGTAAGAACGTATGTTTTACTAAATTTATATCAGGTACTAAAAGAATTTCAAAAAGTATCTGGAAAATATTTGAAAAGTCCTAAATCCGCGAAAATTAATAGGCGCAAAATTTCAACAGACTGAAAATAATTGAAAATTAATAGCCGCGAAACTTCAAACTCGCAAAAACGCGAAATATAATAGCGTCAAATATATGTGCATTGTGCATATACGCTCGTACATGTAAACAAAATTAATTCGTTGTTGATTTTTGTAAATGGTTTGCAAAACGTTATGACAAAAATCAAAACAGTACAGAACCATATTAAACAACAGCAACAACATACATTTGCAATCGGTCGTGTAAATCTCATGTAATTAAATGCCTGGTTAACGTGCTTCATTAACGAATCACAATTTAATGACGGCAACGCGCCACGTGCCTTGTATCAAGCAAAACATGTATCATTTCACTTTATATTTACCACATACATTTGTAGTACAGATGTTGAATACCTATTTATTGATTACATTTTATACATCAATCGTGCATTCATGTATGATCTTAGTTTATGTATGTATCTTTTATTTCCCAATTTGAGTTTTTTGTTGTTTTTTGTATGTATGTATGTAGGCAAGAAACAATAGGCTTGGTGAGCTTTTTCACGAAAAGGGGATTGAGTCAAGTGCTTAAATCCTTAAGCAAACCTTATATTTACCCTGCGTGCAGAGTCTAGTTATACACTACCGAAGACGAAGCTCTCTTTTGGAAGTGAAGTCGAACGAATGCATGCAAAGGGTAAGATAAAGATGACAACAAGAGAAAGCAATTTTGGTTGCTATCTTTTTTTACAAAATGCCACAATGATCACAATGCTAACAACCACTTTGCAAGTTAATTTGAACTCTATAACCCTCGCCACATTTATGATTACAGTATCTCATTGGCCAATTTCAGCTGTCGGTTTCAAATTTGTATAATGGTTCTTATTCAGGAAATTAAACTCCTACACAAAAGCAGTGTTCACAAATTCTGTCGAACATCACGTCAAGCTTCAGACATGTTTGACAAGTCTTTTCATTTTTAAGCTGTTAGATGTACCATTTGGTACCATTGTAAAAAAATATTTCACGCTTTCGTGTACTTACTAAATAAAATCGAATCATTTGTATTGAGGTAGGTATCGTTTTGAGAATCAGAAAGGTCTTATTTATCCTATATTGAACTGTTCGGTTGGATGGGGATGATATTGGACTGTTCGGTGGGATGGGGATGATATTGCACATCAATGTCATCGAAAACGTAATATACACAACAGTAGAGAAGTTTTCATTTATTAACCCAAACTTCAATATGCTGAACATTGATCGCAGTGACATCTTTACTTTGCTGTGAAACAAGATTCATCTTTGTTACAAATGTGATATACATTTAGATTCCATCTTTGACAACTGGCCTACACTTTAGAGAGAATGTGTTAGTTTGGGAAAGGTATTTGACACGTTCTCTCGTCTAAAGTGTAGTTGTAAAAGAAAACTATTAAACTACAGTAAACTACAGGGCGTCCACAAAAAGTATACCGAACTTCAAATCCAAATTACTGGAATCCTAAGCAGTTTTTTAAAATGCAAAGGTAGTAGTAAAAAGCCTGATTTATTCTCCTTCAAATACAAAAATCATTGTGTAACTGTCAGCCATGTATGACTGAGTAATCTTGACCATTATGAGAGGTGGTAAAATTAGCGCTGTGCCAAGTTATCTTCCTGTGTGGCAATTGATGTGTAATTGGCTAAGTATTCTTTTTCTGTTGCATTAAGTTAGAGGACAGGCCTTCCATACTGAACTAGACTTGGGACTGAGTAACTCTTATGAAAAAAGGTTTGGCAAAAAGCTTAACTTACTCTAAATTAGGCCTGCAAAAATGGTTCAACTGACACCTGAGCAGTAAAGCCAACAAAACGTTCTAAAAAGCAAGTCCCCTGCACTGTTTATAGAACCCCTATTCTTACTATTGAAATGGTTTCTAGCAATACTGTCCCACATGAATCTACTTGTTTAGACTCAATAAACTCAAGTTCTTCTGAGAAAATGAGGATTTCAGCAAGGGTTATTGACTAATGGGGATACAATTGGCTTCAAAGCTGCATATCAGCAAGTTGAAGTTTCATTGCTCTTTAAGAGACGGATTCAATTTCTCGAGAGGGAGGTACCAACAAAAAGTTATGGAAAATTATGCAAAAGTGTGAAGAACAACAAGTATCAAATTGAACATAAAACATTTCACTGTGTCATTCCTACTTGAATGCTAACTTGGCACAGTGCTGATTTTACCACCTTTCATAAAACTCATGATTGCCCAGTCATCCATGGCAGTTACATAATGATCTAGGTATCATTGGATGGAGGACAAACTAGGCATTTTACTTTGTATTTTTAAAAAAATGCTCAGAAATCTAGTAACCTGGGATTGAAGGTGGGTATACTTTTTTGTGGACGCCCTGTATTATTAGAAATCTCAATTTTCACAATTAAAACGGCTCCCTCACTTTGAACAAAAAATATAAGCTTTAATTTTCATGAAATAAATTAAAAAGATCTTTATAGTATAGTAATGTAAATATTAAATGTCACTTAATCGTGCCATTTAAAAGGATTGGTATCGATATCGTGAACTGAATTCAACAATGTTTTTCAATTATTTCCAATTATTGAAAACATTCTGTAAAAAACACGGCCCTTTATGTTATGTTGACTGATTGACAACAATTTAATGCGAAACTAGTTAATATATATTTTATATAACTGTATTTGTTAACCTTTTTTGTTTTTTAATGCAATTGTATTTTGTTCATTTTACCGAATTCTTGAGAATGAAATGAAATATCTTTCCGAAGCTTTTCATAACATTTTCTTAGATCTCTCAATATGATAGTTAGGAATTAGAAATTTTGGTTGATTTAACAAAAAGTATTCAAAAAATTAAAACAACACCCCCCCCCCCCTCATATAGATAAAAATTAAGATAAACCTTTTATTTCATTAAAGGGTGACGCATATCATTTAGCAAATCGAACGCTCGTTGCTGGTGTTGCTCACCGTTTAGTATAAAAGACCCGATCCCGGAATAATACTCAGGGTTCACAGGCTCGAGGTCGTTGTGTCAACACCTCTAACTGTTATATATAGCATAAGTATATTATAGATCGTCACAGATTTATAAAAGGGAGATTTGTATTTTGACAAATCAATATCACATTTATGGGTGAAGTTTTAGGATCTTCTATATGTTTTTCAAATTATATTGTTACCATTCAAAAGATGAGCATTAATTGACGATTTGTAAATTTTTTAGAATTTTTTGATGACTGGTTTGTATATTCAAAAAGTTCACCATATCGATACCCAGTTTTAAAAAAGAAATGGTACATTTTAGAGTATACATCTTGCGACGTTTCCAATACCTTTTACTCCTAGCGTTATTGAACTTCAAACAGAAGTGAAGGTTAAGCGCAAATGATATAACCATTGCATAGAGTACCTAATTGACGTTGGTATAACGAAATATATGAGTTAAAAATATTTTGTGAAGTTTTCTCAAAGGTGGACAATTTTTTCGATGGCACCCGTGTTTAAACGACTAATATCCATCAATTCTATCCGTTTGATAACACTTACATTTAAAATATATGGCACACTTAACTTTATAGCTACCACTTACGAAAACAGCTATGGTGCTGTATTCTTATTTAATTTTTTCAGCTCTCCCATTTAACACGGACTTCCTCCGCTCACATCGTATGAGATAATTAGTTACGTAAATAGATGGCGCGAGTATCTAAACAGTATTTTCAAAATTAAATAAATATTTATCCGAAGCAGCTGCAATGGTCCATTGTTTATCAGTTTAGA